AGAAAAAATTGAAAGAACTTCAATATTATTTTTCAGATAACTAATTTCGCGAAAAAGAATTGAAAGAGAAAAAAGTGAAAGAACTTCAATATTATTTCTCAGATAACCAATTTCATTTACACAATATGCTATTTATGTCTTTTTACTCACAGGTATCCTCTTTTGTTACATGTTTCCATCATACAACTAACCACATATCCTACTTGTCACCTTGCTATTGGTTCACCGCTTTACTTGCTAGCTAATTTGACCTTGTTATTGGTTCACTGCTTTACTTGTCACCTATCCCACTTGTCACCTTGTTATTGGTTCCCTTCCTCATTTGCAAGTATAATCTCTCATTCAAGCTGGCGTTCCTTTTCTTCTAATGTGTCTTTTGGAGATGATGGTATCCAAGGCTAGGCCATCAGTGGCTAGGGCTAAGTCTTCAGTGGTTGGGCCCGTAACAACTACCTCTTCCTTTGGAGAGACCTTGTTCTCAAGGTCTAGGTTTGGATATGCAGAATGCAAGTCATTAGCTGATTCCCAAGTTGCATCTTAAGGAATGGTGTAAGTCCATTAAACCAAGTACTGCAATTGAGGAGTACCACAGATTGGAGAGGAACGAGATGCCAAGATTGCAAGAGGTTTCTGAACTGGTTTATTGTCAATAATGTGAGATGGCAGAGGAGAGAAATGCATACTTGGTGTCCCACGAAAAGGCTTCAAACACGAGATATGGAACGTGGGATGAATCTTGGATGTGGCTGGCAAATCTAGCTGGTATGCAACATGGCTAATTACTTTCTTGATAACGAATGGATCATAGAAGCGCTTAGCAAGCTTCTGATGTGAACGACGAACAATTGAAAGTTGACGATAAGGTTGCAATTTGACTAATACCAAATCACCCTCGGCAAGGAGTAAGTCCTGACGATGTCTGTCTGCTTGATTCTTCATCCTATTTTGAGCTCTCAACAAATTATCCTTAAGACTTAATAGGATGTCATTCCTTTGGCAGATGAGTGTGTCTAAGGCCTCAATTGTAACTAAGCCACGAGGATAATGGAGAATTGAAGGGGGTACCCTCCCATAGACTGCCTGAAATGGGGACATGCCAATTGATGAGTGAACCGAAGCATTATAATGGAGTTTAGCTCAGCATAAGAATGAAGACCATTTATGATGTTGTTCAGCACAAAATGCTCTTAAGTACTGTTCCAAATAACGGTTAGTCACCTCAGATTGCCTATCCATTTGTAGGTGATAACTAGAACTGGTTTTGAGCATGGTACCACTCTAGGAGAACATCTTCTACCAAAACTTGCTCGTGAAAATTGGATCCCTATCAGAAACCAATGAGTGAGGAGAGCCATGAAGTTTCACAATGTGCTCACAAAATATTTTAGCTATTGTTGCTGCTGTATAGGAGTGGCCCAATACAATGAAATGAGCATAATTTGACAAACGGTCCACCACCACTAACATAACAGAGAGACCATTTGATTGAGGTACACCAGTGATGAAATCTAAAGAAAAATTTTCAAAGATAGCTTCGAGAACAAGTAAAGGTTGAAGCAACCCCAAAGGTGCTGAAGTAGTTGTCTTGATTTGTTGGCGAATGATACATTGCTGAACAAAGCTAGTAACATCTTTTCTCATATACTGCCAATGAAATGAAGCAGACAAATGAAGGAATGTACGGAGAGATCCAACATGTCCACCCAAAGGAATAGAATGGGCCTCTTCAATAAGTTTTTCCTTCAGGCTTGAATAAGACCCCAAATAAAATTGTCTTTTATGGTATAAAATACCATCCTTTGTTGTGAGGGAAGGATCAATCAGGATCCCTTCTGCTAACTGTTGGTGTAAAGCTATTAAATCTAGATCAGATATATTCTCAGACTTAATGCTATCAAGGATTCCAAATTGTGGTTTAGATAACAAAGGCAACAAGGAGCCAACATCATTACTCTCAAACTGCCTTGACAGTGCATTAGCAACTATATTCGAAGAACCATGCTTGTATTCAATGAAAAACGAATAACCAAGGAGTTTATGCACATACCTGTGTTGTTCGAGTGTCTGAATGGTTCGGGATAGCAACTCTTGGATACTTTGGTGATCCATCCACCAACACGCATACATTGTGATCACAAATCAATGCGTTCAGCATTAAGGCTCTATGATTAAAAGAACCTGCTAAGGAAAACATAGTAGCTTCTTGAGCTGGCTGCATATAGGGGTGTTCGCGGTCTGGATTAGATCGGTTTTGGAAGCAAATATCATCCCATCCAATCCCTTCGGTTTGATCATATAATCATCCATTCGGTTTGGATTTTTTTTCAAATCCGATCTGATCCAATCCAATTTTTTTCGGTTTGGATTGGATCGGTTTTCGGTTTTTGAAAATCCTAAAATTTATTTCATAATTATTATGCAAATAACATCTTTTGTATATATATTGGCTTTGTAAATTATTATTTTTTAAATACAAAAGCATAAGTAAACTATAATATAATTTTTTTTTTGGGCAATGAGGTATGAAACTCTACAAAGATAAAATTTTGTTGATGAGATGTGACTAGATTTTTTCTTGGGTTTGGTTGATACTCAATGGGTCTTGGGTTTAGAAATTTTTAGGCTATAATTGGGAAAAAGACCTAAGTAGGTGGAGGGAAATTAATATATTGGATCGGTTTGGATTGGATCGGTTTGGATTGGATCGGTTTTCATCAATCCATCCAAAAACCGATCCAATCCAATTAAAATTTGCGGTTTTTTTCAGTTTTCGGTTTTTCGATTTATTCAGTTATCGATTTTTCGGTTCGATCACCGCGGTTTGAATCGGTTTGGATCGGTTGATGAATACCCCTAGCTGCATAGTAGCTGCTTGAGGAACATCCCTGGGCTCAGGTGACCAAAGAATCTCCTCTTCCATTTCTTGTTGATCATCCTCCATATCTTCCATTAAGAGAAGCATTTTGGCTTTGCATCTGTATTTGGAATTCCATTTTTTTCACACGTATAACGTAAGCCAAGTTCCCTTTTTCTATGAATCTCTTCAGGTGAAAGCTTTTTAATAGGCAGTGAGGATGGTTGAGGTAATAATGGTTTGATTATATTGTTGAGTGTGGTAGATGGATTGAAGGTGGAAGTTGAATTGGTTTTAGGAAGGGTTGTAGTGCCATTGTTAGAGGAGAAAGAAGTATTCTTTTGGTTTGAAAGAAGAAAGGAACACAATTGGTCATGATAGGTATCAAATGCATGTGCAAGTTGCATAGCATGATGAAGGGATGTAGGCCATTGAAGTTGAATTGCTCCTAAGGTCAGGTAGAGGCCAGAAATAAAGAAACTCATCAACACGTCATCAATATCTCTATTACAGGAATATTTTATTATTGTTAAAAATTGTTTGAAATTTGGGGATGTTACATTGATTCAATAAAGACTCAAAATCCCTAATATAGTCCATCAAAGTACCTGATTGGGAAAACTTTGACAGGGCTCATTTGAGAACCACAAATGTTGAAGCTTCAAATCTTTGGCGCAATGCACGAGTAAAGTCTTCCCATTGAGAAATCAAACCAGTGGTAAACATCCATTGAAACCATGACGATGCTTGACTTTCCATCTTCATCCCCAGGAGTTGTACCTTCATGCACGATGGAACATGGTGCATTTAGAAAAATATTTCAGCTTTGAAGATCCAATTATTGGGATTAGACCCAATAAATAAAGGAATTTCAATCTTGATGGACTTAGTAACTCTCTGCTATGGCGTTTCTGGTGAGCGAAACCGGGTAACCTTTGGGTCAAAATTTGAATTGTGATTCTTTGAACTAGTTGGTGTGGAGTTATGGGTCTTGGACATGAATTCTCCTAGGCGAGCATCAAGGCCAAGAACTTATTTTGTAAGCAGGTCAAGTTTCTGAGTGACATCAGATCGAGTGGAGTTAATTTTCGACTGAAATTCAGAGCACAATTCATCAGCAACTTCCCGAATTCTCACGGTGACTCTTGGAGTTCGAAGATGAAAGCACCACATGATACAACAGTATCAGAGAATTGAGAGGGAAAAGGAATTGAAATAGGGAAAAGTGAAAGAACTTCGATATTATTTCTCAGATAACCATTTTCATTTTCACAATATGCTACTTATACCCATTTACTGACATGTATCTTCTTTTGTTACACGTTTCCATCATACAATTAACCACATATCCCACTTGTCACCTTGTTATTGGTTCACTGCTTTACTTGCTAGCTAATTTGACTCCTCTGTTCCCTTCCTCATTTGCAAGTATAATCTCTCATCCAAGTTGGTGTTCCTTTTCTTCCAATAGGTCTTTTGGAGATGATGGTATCCAAGGCTGGGCCATCGGTGGCTGGGGCTGAGTCTTCAGTGGTTGGGCTCGTAACAATGTCTCTATCTATCTTCAACTGCATATATACACTTTGGAGTGTTGCACCTACACGTTGAATGTGATTGCACTTGGTTATATTGTAGATTTGCACTATGAAAGAGCACAAAAGACGTTCGAAGATGGGAGAGAAAGATGGAAGAAAAGAACAAAGAGTGAAACTAGAGATTGATATGAGAAGATTATGAACGTTGATTAATAAATTAATGAGAAAAATGTTTGTCTTTTTAAAGGATATAACTTTATGTCATTTTAGATCCTAACTATTGATTTTCTTCAATCAACTATTATAATTTATTGAGTCAAATTTATTAACTAATTAGTAATTCACAATAAATTATAACTATCGATTGACGAAAATCAACGGTTAGGATATAAAATGACACAAAATTACATCTTTTAAAAAGATAAATATTTTTTCTTAAATTAATTTAATAATAATTAAGTGGTTGTAAACTCTTTTGGTTGTAAATATAATCTACCCAAAAAATAAATATTTCTTAATCTCTGTTAAGAGTACGCACCGCTTGGTTATGGGCTAAAGAAAAGAAATGAACGCGAAATAAAATATGAAATATCTATCAAGTAAGTAACCAGCTAAACGAAGGGCACGTTGCTTCACCTTATCTAACTCTCCGAGAGTCCAAAACCCTGCAACCCAATGCCCCAAACCCTGTCATCTATGGTGTCAAAACCGATACACACTACCACGAATCAATCGTCTTAAATGTTTATAGCTCACCTTCACAAAGTTAGCTTCCGCAAATGGAACTTACTTCCTCCTTTTTACTCTCCTCAAAACCATGCTCCTTCCCCTCCAACTACTCTTTCGCATCCTCATTCTCTCCGTTCCCGATTAAAATTTTCATCAGAAACTCCAAATCTCGAAACCCCACTTCACAAAGCTTTCGTATTTTCGCAGTGGCCTTAGAGCCGTCGCCGCAGGAACTCCCTAAGAACAGTCCTCATCGACTTCTGAAGGAGCTCGCTGAACGGAAGAAAATCACTTCCCCGAAGAATAAGGGACCCCCAAGGAGGTACATCTTAAGGCCCCCATTAGATGACAAAAAATTAGCAGACAGGTTTCTCAATAGCCCACAATTGTCTCTGAAATCGTTCCCCTTGTTGAGTTCTTGCTTGCCTTCGTCGCGACTCAACAATGCTGATAAGACGTGGATGGAGGAGTACTTGCTCGAAGCCAAACAAGCTCTTGGGTACTCACTTGAACCATCGGAAATGCTCGGGGACGATAACCCCGCAAAACAATTCGATACTTTGTTGTACTTGGCTTTTCAGCACCCCTCATGTGAGAGAACGAAAGCACGGCACGTGAGGTCAGGGCATTCGAGGTTGGTTTTTTTAGGGCAGTATGTGCTTGAATTGGCGTTGGCTGAGTTCTTCTTGCAGAGGTATCCGAGGGAATCACCGGGTCCAATGAGGGAGAGAGTGTTTGGGTTTATAGGGAAGAGAAGCTTGCCCCAGTGGATTAAAGCCGCTAGCTTGCAGAATTTGATATTTCCATATGATGATATCGATAAGATGGTGAGAAAGGACAGGGAGGGACCTGTAAAGTAAGCTTTAACTTTCACTTCCACTACAAATTCTCTCTGCCTCTCTCTCTTTCTCTTATTATTCTTTCTTGTGATTTTCTTGCCCATAGTTGTGCAGTTTTGCCTTAATGGATAACGTGGTTGTCACTTGTCATTGCCTTTTCTTCCAAGTTACTTCATAATTTGAGATTATGGCTTTGTAACTGCACTAGCAAATACTCTCTGCCTATCTGGAACAATGTCATTTCTGATAAGAACTGCAATATGCCCACAATCTGCAAACTAAAATAAAAAATAACAATATGCCCACATTCTAGGGGAAGTCTGATGTCTTGAATTAGCTATTTTCTTCTCGCATTGGGAAATTTTATTGATGGGTCAGCTAGATAGGTGTCATACGACTGGTCTATGACCATTTCATGTGACTGGCCAAACTGAATTGATTTATTAGGTTAACATATACATTTCTTCTCAGGCATTAATTTTGCATTGATATTTGCTTTTGAGTTGCTTAATATGGTTTTCAGTTTCCCTCTCTTGGTATCCTTTTGAATGATATTTGAAAATACAATGTGCAATTGTGCTGAGGGTGTTCATGAATAAAGAATTCAGATTTGAAAATTATGTCGATGTTGTTTTGGGTTCAAGCAGAATGGCTGACAGAAATTTGGACTTATATCCATGAACACTTAGGTTAACTCTCTGACATCAAATTTTGATGTTTTGTTTCTCTCTAATCATCATCCATAATATGAACCACCAGTTTGTGATATCAAGTACAGGTTTAAATAAATGTTTATCAGATCAATGACCTATGTATCTGGTGCCATCCCCTTTTCAAATTGAAGTTGTTTGATGATTAATGAATTCAAAATAATAAGATGCTTGGCTAGCCAACTGTCTAAAGATGATCTAGGAAAGAAAAGACAAAAATGTTGAATACATACCTTCCTGGATGATATTTTTATTGCATTAGGTTATCAATTTATTGCAGAACCATCTTAATCAATGGAGTTGCTAGCCCATAATCTATTTCTGAAGTGAATTGTTCTGCATTTTCACATTTTTTATTCTATGGCAGGTCAGTATTTTGGGCTTTGTTTGGGGCAATCTATCTATGTTTTGGTATGCCAGAAGTGTATCGTGTTATTTTTGAAGTCTTTGGAATGGATCCTGATGCTGATGATTGCCAGCCTAGATTGCGTAGACAGCTTGAAGATGTGGATCATGTATCTACCGAATTTGAAGGCAAGTTAAGCTGGCAAGATATGGTTACTTATAAGGTAAGCTATATATAACTTGGGCTAAAATATTATTTGTTTAAAATAAGTTAGCACATAAAGATCTATATATTAGGCACATATTCAACTGTGTTTTTCTGCACTCTTCCCAAATTTCGATGCAAAATTCCTGTCCTACAACAGAATACTTTATTATTAGATGGAGACATGGAAATGATGTTTGCTGTTATTCATTCAGCCTCCTGCAGATGCTCTGTTTGCACATCCAAGGCTGTTCAGAGCTTGTGTTCCACCAGGTATGCATCGGTTCAGAGGAAATATTTGGGATTATGATAGCAGACCCCAAGTTATGAAAACACTCGGATATCCACTAGAAATGACAGACAGAATTCCAGAAATTACTGAAGCCAGGAACATAGAGCTTGGACTTGGATTGCAGGTAGCTCTACTATTGCCTCTCATTCTACTTTTCCCTTTGCCCTATCAGGCTGTCAAAACCACAGATCTGACTGCCCTTCCTAGGATTGGGCTGGGTATATCTTTGATTTATCTTTGAATAAACAAATCTTAATGCTTCTACATTTCTACTTGTCCCTACTCAGGCTTTACACTAAATGGCATCAAAGTTGTTTAGTGATAATGAGCATTAAAGCCTTAATGGTTTGTTTGTCATAGATGCATAGCTATTAAACCTAAAGTTATACTTTCAAGATTTTTATGTGGAAATTAGGAAGGTAAATTTAAAAGAAGCAAAGTACTGAGGGGTGGCAAAATCATTGATAGTTAATTTTTATTGTATTTGGGGTCATCTCTGCACTGTTTACTTCATGACAACAAAGTCCTGCCTTAAAACAACCCAAATATTAAGCACATTAATAGTGTAGGACTTTAGGTAGGAAATAATACTCAATATATTTGATTATGAAGTCAACTTGGACCTTCTGAGACCCCTCCGTGGAAGATATAAATTTGGTAGTGAGAAGTTTGAAAGTTCCCTGGCTTGTTATAAGTTCTGATGTTGAACGTCTTATCTAATTGCAGCTTTGTTTCATGCATCCATCGAAGTACAAATTTGAGCATCCTCGATTTTGCTATGAGAGATTAGAATACATTGGCCAAAAGATACAGGTACTATTCTTTGTATTGTCTATAGGACAATTTGACTGCATTTCTGGAATGACACTCTAGTTTCGTTAATGGGATATATCATATATTTACTACTCAACTTCTATTTAGAATCTAAATTTTTCTTCTTCATTGGATACTGTATAATGTTTTTGTTTTATTATTTTATTATTTTCTGAAGGATTTGGTGATGGCTGAAAGATTGTTGATGAAGCATTTAGATGCTCCGGGGTTGTGGCTACAAGAGAAACACCGTCGCCTTCTTATGAACAAGTATTGTGGAAAATATTTGAGGGCCAAACATCTCCACCGTTCTGTTATATATGATGAGAAGGTTCAAGACTCTTATGAGCACAACCGGAGAAAAAGAAACCCAACCACCACAGCTGTTCAACAAGCTCTTCATGGGCTTTCATATCTTGTTTATGGTAAACGTGATGTGAGACGTCTGATGTTTGAGGTTTTTGACTTTGAGCAGATCCTGCCTAAAGAAGTCTAGATATGGAGACAATAGTGACATAAATATAAAAGCACTTCTGTTTCCTTTTTTTTTTTAACCTCTTTCTTTTGTTTTTTCTTTTCTACCCCCTTGATTCAGGCTTTCCATATGATGGTTTGATCCGCCTAGTTGTAGTTGATTTGCAGATTCTTCTTTGGAAGTTGCTCAATATATAAGTCATTGTATTTTACTAATCTTGCGACTAAGGGTGGCAATTTACTACACAATATGAGATTTTCATATTCGAATGATCTATATTCATATTTGTGTCGGGTTTATATTGGTAAAAAATCATATGAAAAAATTTGTATCGTACTGCGTGTTAATACAAACACGACACTTTATTCAAGTTAATTTTCTTTCAGGTTATTTATCATATTATGTCAATTCGCATAATATGCTTTATGACACTTTATTCAGGTTAATTTTCTTTCAGGTTATTTATCATATTATGTCAATTCACATAATATGCTTTATATTTTGAAGTTAGCAAGTTATTTGTGTTATGCCGTTGCAATTTGTAAAATCAGAGGGTCGTGTATATATTAAAGGTCTTAACATGAATATATTCATGCGTGTAAATTTAGATAGATACAAACACAACATTCACATGAATTGTGACCCCTATTTGGACGACTCGTTCAATTCTCCTTGGCTTAGACCATGGAGCAAAACCATGATGACCAAAACGTTGTTGGTATGATTATTTGAGAATTTAACTTGATACCTACACAAAACAAATCAAGTATAGTTCGAGAAACCGTGATAATCTACCATAATTTTCTTTTTTGGCTGACAGGAAATTCTACAAGGCGTTTCGGTTGATTGAAAAGGTTGCCTTTGTTGTGTGATGAACCCAGCCGTGTTAGTTTTCACAAGACATTTCTTTTGGTAAAAAGGTAAGAATCTTTTTATATGGGTTGCAGAAAGATATTTTTAGGACGAATCATTAATTGCCACTTTGTTACATTCTTAACGCAGACCCATGGATTTGGTAAGTATCATGTATACAAGGAAAATATCTTCTGTAAAATGGGAATATTGAACATTTAATACATCCTTCCTAAAATTAGAAATTGTTTTCCTCTCATTTATGATCACTGATGCATAAATCCTATTTTTTTCTATTTTTAATCACAGTGAAAATATATATGGGAAAAATGTGTATCATTTTAAAGGATGTAATGTTGTGTCATTTTAAGTGAGAGAAAGAGATAGATAAAGAAAGAGAGAGTGGACAAAAAAATATAAAGATGTGGGTCCCACCTCTTTGTGAAGTGAAATGATATAAGTTGTGTTATTTAAAAGGATAAACATTTTTCCTTATATATATATATATATATATATATATATATGGGGCAGAATATTCTTACACCGGTGTAACACTTAGAAGTCTTACACTCAATCTTGACTATTGATTCACTTCTATCCAATGACTCACATTTCTAAAAAATTTGAGCTGTTAGATATAAATGAAATCAACGGATAAGATTGAGAGTGTAATTTACACTGGTGTAAAATGATCCTGATCCTATATATATAGTTAGGATCTTTTGACACCAGTGTCAAATTTGACACCTCAACTGAGAGCCGTTAGATCACAAAAAATCAATGATGTCACATGCTTACGAATCAGAGTCGTCGATCTTTTTTGATCTAACGACTCTCAGATGAGTGTCAAATTCTGAGGTGTCAAAATTAAAATTTGACACGGGTGTCAAAGGATCCTACCTCATATATATATATATATATATATATATATATATGGGCCAGGATCATTTTACCCGGATATCCTGCCCATAAATATATATATATATATATATATATATATATATATATATGCTCGGATACAAGAATACCCGGTCCAGAATATTTTAAACGAACACGGGACCTACAAGAATACCCGGTCCAGAATATTTTAAACGAACACGGGACCAAACGCGGCTTTATTAAGCGTCGATAGGCAGAGGCTGACATGAGCACATGACAGATATGCTTAGGAACCATCACACTGCTAATACTACTACTACTACTACGCTTCTTGCTAGGTGGTGAAGTGAAACCTTGTACCCAACCTCCTAGCGAAACTAACACCACCACAACCATCGCACCAAAATTAATCACCACTAAGTCGGGATCTCAGAGTCGAAGCGCCAAGCCATGTCGAAGGCGCGTGTCTACACAGATGTCAATGTTCTTCGTCCCAAAGAATACTGGGATTACGAGTCTCTCACCGTTCAATGGGGGTAATTTTCCCAACCCTAATTTCTCTGTTCCTATCTTATTGTTTCTGAACCTCAAAGAGTACGATACACAATGAAAAGAAGTTTTATTGTAGGAATCTTAGATTGTGTGTATAGTTTTTTAACTGTTGTTTTGTTGTATTCTTCCTCGTTCATTTTAAATTCCAATAGCTTCAACAATTTTATCTAGCATTTTGTCTAACTAACTGGAGGATGGGAAATTGGCAATTATGCCGTTTCTGTTGTAGTCATATCCTTTTGATTGGATCTCATGCTTTTGCTTAGCTTTTATGTGGTTGGGATAGAGAGAAGCTGGTCGAGGATCACCTTGTAATGCAAAGTTAATTGATCGAATTTGTTCTTTGAATTATCCTTATGACTATTTTTGCCAATTTTGCTGAGCGAGGTTTGCTTGCATGATATGTATTAATTCTTGGCTCACTTTTGTTTAAATGGAATGGTTGGTTTTGGGACCTTTTGATGCAAGGATAATGCCTTAATTACCCAAATCCTTTTTTTTTTGTTCCAATAATATTATTTTTCAATGTTCCGTATGCTTCTTCTTTTTTCAGTGATCAAGAGGATTATGAGGTTGTGCGAAAAGTGGGAAGGGGGAAATATAGTGAGGTTTTTGAAGGCATAAATGTTAATAACAATGAGCGCTGTATAATCAAGATTCTCAAGCCTGTCAAGAAAAAAAAGGTAATCCTTTTTTCATTTGTGTTGCTTTCCACCCTTACTGGGGACCTGCAGACTATGAATTCAGCCAGCCAGGGGTTCTTTATCAGAATTATTCTCCTAAAATCTGCCGTACAATGAGTAATGTCAATTACAGTTTTACACAAACGGATTTGTCACACACTTCATAATCATTTTTGTGAGCTATTGGTCATAGTTATACAGCAATAATTTCCAAAATAAAGCGTAACCTAAAATTCATTATAAGAAGGCATTAAACATAATATAATCAGCTTTTAACACAAAGAATATGTTGAGATATATAAAACCATTAATATAGCCTCACTCAATAGCTTAAGCTTTCGGGTTGAATTGGTTCTTTACATGGTATCAGAGCCTCGGTGTACCGGGTTCGATCCTCACCGCCCCCCACTTTCTTTCTAGTGGAATTTCTTTCTTCGCACAGGTAGGTGGGCCTGTGCATCTTCCACCCTTCAAGCCCAGTGAGCTCTTGTGTGAGGGGGCGTGTTAAGATATATATAAACCATTAATATAGCCTCACCCAATAGCTTAAGCTTTTGGGTTGAATTGGTTCTTTACAGAATATGAATGTATGACATGAGGCTTCTATCAAAAATAAAAAAATAAAAGGCATGATGATATGATTCGCAACATTGATATCATAATAATTCAATTATATAACATAACATTGTTATGGAGACAACCATATAGGGTTTCAGGTGAGAAAGGAGCTTCATACTTGATAAAATTTGTTGAAAAAGGGCGATGTCACCCTAAAATATCCAGAGGAGTGGGTGAAGCTTGTCTCAACTCTTTTTTCTAAAAGGAAAAAAGTGAAAGGGGGAAAAGATTCATTCTTGGGTCAAGCAAGACGTGATGTGGGTCCTCTGCAACCTGGTTCTGCAACATTTTGTAAATCATCATAATTGTTCAAAACAAATTTTTCTAGACAAACCAGAACTAAATCATTTAGGCCATGAACCAAGATAACCTTGGTTTCAATTTTTGGAGCAGAAAGTGCATCCCCGTATTGTTGGACTTAGTAATACTAATATACCTCCCCGCTTTAATACTTTTTTTTTTTTTAGTTTTATGTTGTTTGATGCACTATGCCATTTGAAATTGATACGAACCCACCAAGGCAGATGTACCATAGAAATAAAAATAAAAGATGTTGGGCCTCAAATGTAAGGACTGGGCAATGCTATTGACCCAATTGACAATATTGCCGACCCAAGTGCAGATGCTGATAATTGGTATGGTGGCCTAAATGGAGACATTGACCGGAATGCCCTCTAACAGAATATAGGTGTGTGTGGAAGCAAGTTGGTTACGGGGGAAATTGGTTAAGAGGGAAGGATGTGTGTTGGAGGAGGACAGTCTGGAATATTGTTGGAACTGGAATCTTGAGAGAGAGTGGGACCTCTCCAATTGTCTCACACCTTTATTTTTCTACATTGTTAATTTTCTTTTGATTTCAGTGTAATCTTCTTTAATTTTCTGCTAGTGCCTCTGTTAAGTTGTCACTGTTTGTATTTGTTGTTGATGATTAAATGGAAAGCTGAATATTCAGATCAGAATTTCTCTGTTATTTGCTGTTAAAATTGTATTTGGTTGGTTGGTTTGTATCAAATTGGTATCAGAGCTCCGATCTAGAAGTTCTTGGGATGGTTCTTATGCGAACTATGGACAATCGTTTGAAGAATTTGGAAGAGGAGTTGCGCAGAGGTAGTGTTCGACAGGATGAAGTTCTTCAGAGACTTGAAGCTAACGGGGAATGGCGAAAATCATCCGGAGGCTGGATGATATGGCTAAGAGGAGACAGAGTCGCTTCGGTGATGGAGAAAACAATCTGGAAGACGATGAGGCAGGCCCACACGATCTAAGAATTGGGAGGCGTTTTACCATTAACGCCCCGACAACCAGACGCTTGGAGATTCCGGTGTTCTCCAGTGAGGATGCTTTCGGTTGGTTGAGCAAAATGGAATGATACTTTGGGGTGAATAGGGTGGCAGAGGAGGAAAAATTGGTTGCAATGTTGGTGTGTCTAGAAAGGGAGGCACTCCATTTGGTGAGCAACCCGGATGTTGCATGAGTGTTTTTCCGACAGGAGCTATTCAGCCGCTTTCAACCAGAGACATTGGATAACTCGTACAGAGCACTTTACACTCTCAGATAGAGTGGAAGTGTGGCAGAGTCCTGAGCGGAGTTCGACAAAAAATGGTGGGAGCATTGCGTTTCAAAGAGGAAGAATTACTAAAGGGAGGTTGGCTGAACGGTGTGCGTAACGGCATCAGAGAGAAGTTGCTGATGTCTCCGTCCCTTTAGCTTGATGGAGATGATGAAGTTTTCCTTGAAGATTGAGAAGAGA